AAATACGACGGAATGTAATCATGTGTTTTTGTACGATGTTGTTGACAATACTTACAAACCAACTATAGCCGGGGTCACCAATCATTTATGAGAGCTACTTCAGGGGTACAGAGTAACACAAAGTGCTACTTGTCTGATATGAATGTAAAATTACACAACTCACCTTGTATAGTTTTAATAATAATAAATTTACATATATGTGAATATTGATGACTGAATATCCCTGTGATGGACTGGAGACCTGTCCAGGTGCTTTCACCCATAGGAAGTTGAAACAGGCTAAAGCCCCCACCCCGACTCTTGATTAGGAACAAGATCCCCCTAATCTGAATCATTAGCTGTGTTTCCATTGACCATGAAAACGCGGAAATTAGAATTCTGAAAATAAATTTGCTCAATGGAAACACAACAATTTCGAAAAAAATATACGTTTTTCGACAAAATGTTTTTAGGCTAGGACGAGGTGGTACTTCGGCCGTATCGAAATTGGTGTTTTTCGCAAAACTGCAATGGAAACACTTTTTTCGCATCACGAGAGTCACGTGATCAACAACCGGCTGTTTCTACTGGCGAAAAAGACAATGACGAAGAAGATAACAGGAAGTAGAAATAGTAGTAATATCACAGAAGTAGTATAAAATAGTAAACTCACCGACTACAATTCCCCAAAAACACAGCATAYGCAGCCGCTCCTAAGTAGAGAATTGTCGCTGGAAAGCCTTGATAAAAGAAGCTGACATCTCCTCTAATGATGAACGCTAGTGTCACGGTAGCAACATGCTATGTGTTTACATCCATCGCCGCCATGTTTGTAATGACTTATCGCGAGAACAAACGTRTTCACGCGTGATTTTGATAGCATTTCTTACTTAATGGAAACACCGCAGTTGCGAAACTGTGTTTTTCAACATTAACGGAATATCGACAAAGTTTTGCGCACATTTGCAATGAAAACGCAGCTGGTGACATTTGAAATTCATTTTGTACATATATGTAAAAGTTTTGTAGAAATGAACTAATTTGTAATGTTTATTCAAAATACATCTGTTTCTTATCATCAAATGTAATATTTTTTAAAGAAACTAATTTTAAAATCTTAAAATCATACCTTCTTTGTACTAATCACTGTCTTTGTAAAACCTCAGAACACTAACTCTTGAAAACTATCAGTTATGTAATAAATAAAAGAAACAACTATAAAAAATAATGTTTTGTTTCTCTGCAAGATAACGGGTTAGTGTTCTGTTGTGTTCTCAGCTACTACTATAACAAACTAGAGCTCAATATCCATAAAATGAACAGGTTTTTGGGTTTCCTGCAGTCAATTAGCTATGGCAGACATCTTAAATTGGGCCGGCACATAACTGTAAGTTGTAAATGTCCATCCAATGAGTATACTTTCTGGGAAATTTATCAAAAACTACCTAGTGGTTCATGACATTTGTTCCTAAAGAACAAACAAACAAACAAACAAACAAACAAAAAAGAAATCACAAATTAAAGTAAAATACATAGTCACCTGCTTTTGACATAACAGAGTTAAAAACATTTTTCCAAAACAGCATTGAATGAAAGAGCTTTCTTTTGTTTTCAACAGAAATAGATAAATAAATCTTCAGTTTTTGACAAAGGTATTTGTACAAATAAAACTCAAAAAWGGCAATATACCAGACTACAGCTCAATATTATTAAGTGACAGTAGTGGTACCATTAATCCATTGGTGCATTCACAGACTGTCAGGTTTTTGACTGCCCCTTATCTACAGTGCAATCACATATCTGAGAAAAAAGGGACATTTTGAGTTTTAAGGTGAACCTCATGTGATTCTGGTTACCAGTCAATCGACCAGTGCATCCCTTGTGATTAGTAGATGTCACAGTTGGCTTGTAAGCTAGTTTGTGGATGTCACATCTATCATGGATGCTGCATAAAGGGAAAAAAAGTTAGTATAGACAATAAAGTAGGCCACCATTCCCCAGCCTACCCATTTTCAACACTCTTCTGACAGAATCACACACAATGACAATGTGGTGAAAATTGTCACTAAAGCTTCCCCAGCTGCAAAACACTTCTCTGCCAACATCTGGTTTCGTCTGCCTATAGCGTCAGGGTTGGGTTGGGTGTCAAATCGCTCTTCTTAATAAAGATGCCACATTATTTACAAAGTGACAACCACTTAATCTCTCAGAAAACGCTCAGTTGTGGTTTCTTTAGGGCATTCGTTACGTCTCAGAAAACCACGGGAACTCAAATGGTTTGTCAGTTCGATGTCATCGGTCCATATGGAATAAATGCACGGGTGATTAAGGGAGCAGGATGACTGAATTATGGGACTGTAACATTGTTTTCTTATGTTTCAGTCAATTTATGATAAATCATTGATGCACTTGCACATGACGATTCTCCAAATGGATCAAGCAGCTGTTTGAACTGATGGTTATTCAAACCACAACCTTGGGCTTTACTAAAATCAGCTAAAATCAAGAACAGACTGGAAGGTAGATGATTTGCGGAGRCATTTAAAAATGATGTAATGTTTCATTTAAATGGGTAAAAACATGCAAACGTCTGTGGATATACTTATAGATATTGAGCTAAAATTTGATATGGCAGTAGCTGAGCATTATCCACAAAACACACTTAGAGCACTACATTGTGCTATATTAATGCTTAAAACTTTAGTATTAGCTGCTGGGCTCAACCTAGTTTGTCTGTTAGCGAAATGCTAAAAGAACCACTGGACAGATTTGACTAAAACTCACAAAGTAATAATTATATGTACATCTAAGTCTATTTAATTTTTGGAGTAAGCCTAAATTAAAATAAGGTGCCAATCTTTGGGTTTGAAGAGTTTTTTTACTCCATATAAATTTCGTCAATTTATGTTAACTACGTAAGCAGTGGAGGGGATAACTACAATTATTTTATGAAACCAAAAGGAGACATAAAGAATGAATTGTTTCGGGTACGATATAGGGCTGCCACAAACGATTATTTTTATAATCGATTAATCACCGTTTTATTCGATTAGTCGACTAATCAGATCATACGTTAATTGAATATAAAACATACAGCTTATCACGTCACAATGCAGCTGCTATTGTATAACCATGGTTAGATTTTAGCTATATGCTAACTAAAAATAATTGCTGTGGAAGGCAAGTTCTGCTCTGCAGATACTGCACAGGTTTTTTGTTGTGTTTTTGTTAGTTTGTTCTTTTCTGTTGTTTGTGTTAAAAAATGTAATAAAAAGACCATGTTCAAAAAAAAGATACTGCACAGGTTTCTCTTTCGTTTTCTTAAAATGATCCCACACTTTTGAGCTCCGTTGCTGGGTAGCCATGATACCAGAGCCTGTCTGTATAATGTCNGGATATACTTATAGATATTGAGCTAAAATTTGATATGGCAGTAGCTGAGCATTATCCACAAAACACACTTAGAGCACTACATTGTGCTATATTAATGCTTGAAACTTTAGTATTAGCTGCTGGGCTCAACCTAGTTTGTCTGTTAGCGAAATGCTAAAAGAACCACTGGACAGTTTTGACTAAAACTCACAAAGTAATAATTATATGTACATCTAAGTCTATTTAATTTTTGGAGTAAGCCTAAATTAAAATAAGATAATCTTTGGGTAATAATCTTTGGGTTTGAAGAGTTTTTTTACTCCATATAAATTTCGTCAATTTATGTTAACTACATAAGCAGTGGAGGGGGTAACTACAATTACTTTATGAAGCCAAAAGGAGACATAAAGAATGAATTGTTTCGGGTATGAGAGAGGAGGTGAGTATTAGCTGATGTGTGTTGTTTTCACAATCTTGTTTGTAACTTTACAAAAATTTTGTGAACTTCGTAGACGGCTATTTTCTGAACCCACAGGAAGACAAAGCGTCAACGTCCTCCACTAAAATCCTACCTAAAAGCCTGACATAAAGTCAGGCAATTCGAGAAATGCTAGACTTTAGAATATTTTCAGATAATTCTCATGAATGCCCTGGTCCCTCGAGTGCTTTATGGGCACTAGAATCTAACAAAATCGCAGTTCAACTGTAATCCCTAAAACGATTGATGACAAAGTGCTGATTTGACCTCTTTTTATTAGAGGCATTAAAGAAAAACTACTGATGCCAGAGAATTGTACTATCATTAGTAGTGGATGGTGAACCCCACCGCAACCAGGATCAAGAGGTATTAGAGCCCGAAAAAAAAAATTTCAATTAGCCTGAAATCTCCCATTAATGGTTTTAGTCATATCAAATTAACATTTTTATGGGCCATTGCCCCACTCCCAACATCTAAACCATGGCCTCATACACACMCCCCAAACACTCACACCAACACAGCTGACTTCTTTTAATCAGAATTTAAATGACTTCATTTACTTCTCCCTGAAACAATCCAGAGAAACCCAATGAAAAAAAAGATTCAAAATGAAGAACAAATTAATCTCCAGGTTTTAACGCATGGGTTGATGTATAAATGTTCATAATACTAAAGATCTGCGYGACAAAGTCAAAGACGTGGTATTTCCAAATAACAGTGTAAAATGAAGGATAAAATACAGTACAGTTAGAGGGAAAAAAATGAGAGAATGAAACAAAGACAGCAAGAGAAGTGGTGAAAAAAAAGTTTCAAGAGACTCAGAGTAAATCCTGCTAATTAGTGAAAAAGAGAAGTGGTGAAAACAAGACAAAGTCAAGACACTTTCATCCCAGCTGGCTGACAGGAAAGGATAATTCTGACACGGCTTCAAACCTTGCCAATCAAAAACGAAAAGAAAGGGAAAAAAGAATWGCCCACATGTGCGCATTTCACATAAACTTAAGTGGAGACAAACGCTTGGTTTAATGAGCCACACTCACCCAGAGCGGCTGGTGCAAAGAGGCTGGCGAGGACTAGCAGGCGTGCGGTCCACATGGCCTCCTTCTCTCACCGCCCGCCGCTCAGAGTCCCAGATGAGCTCAGTACGAAGTCTTCGGCTGGCAGGAGCCCTGATTGGTTGCTTCCTCTACGGCGCGACCCCTATTCCGCTGCGCCGCTCTTTCCCAAAGGGCTATAAGTCTTGTTGCTCTGATCCCAGATCCTTCTTCCAAAAATCTGTCATAAAGAAACCCACAACAACAACATAAAAACGTTAGTGCTTCATTCACCAGAACAATAAGACTCTTGTCTCTTCCAGTAAGAAAAACAGCAGATGGATGCACCGTGGCTTTATCATCACCACCCTTATGTCAATGTGGGTTTGGAGTTGTCAAGTGACACGGTGGAAGTTGCTCAGTTTCCAGTCAGCCTGAGCTCATACCGGGGTGTGATCAGCCAAACACAAAGACGGTGTGAACCCACTAAATGTATTTTTGGGTAGAGTGTTGTTGTTGTTTGCTCATCAGAGTGTTAACTCCCCCACCTTACCGACAAATCACTCCCACAGAGAAACAAGGAGGGAGCAATGAAGCACACACTGCTCAGGGCTCAGGAGGACAACTGTGTTTGTGTACGGACTGTAAGATTGTGCAAATGTGTTTGAGACTCTCGTGTGCCTTCCTGCAAGGCCTGATGGTAATTGACAAAAGAAATTGAGATTTTCTTCTTTTTTTTCCCTGCGGGCTACAGTCATAACTGAACACTTGTTTGTGTTTGTGAATATTTCTGTACACACACTTACATGTTTCACTCCTGATTTTCAGCAAACGAAAAAAAGATTTAATTCGAGGTGGTAATTTCAAGCAGTGGTGCCCAACCCTGGTCCTAAAGGGATATCAGTATAATGTATGTTTTAGTAATTTTCTGCTCTTCAGTATGTCTTCAAGTTCTGCAAAAGTCTTTTAATCACTCATTCATTCAGGGTGTATACAGAAATTTTGAAGTTAAATGTAATAGCTTTTGATATTTTTTAATACCAACCTGACTTTGAGCTGCAACTGTAGAGGCAACCTCTCAAACTTCAGTTGGGGTAACTAATTATAAAGTAAAAGATTAGTGTCATTTTCTTACTTAATATGCTTAGTAATAATACAGTTACTAGATACACAGTTACTTATTTGCCTTAATAAAAACACTGACCTTATTAATGACCTGATTATTTGTTATTTAACACTAACGCAAAGCAAAAAGTGATTTAATTGTGACAGGGTTTTTTTAGGAGATAGACTGGGGTAAAAAAAATTGAGTTGGATAGTTGTCCAAAAAATTAGTACCTCATCTGGAAACTTTTATTAGTTTTKATCATTTTTAATGACCTTAATGTTTTCTAATTTCATTTACTACCTTTTCTTTTACAGCCCCACGGAATCCCTGTTCATTTAAATCAGATGTTTCAAAGCAGAGAAACATCTCAAATTTTAGATGTTCCCCTTTACTCAGGCAGTATTTATTCTTCTAGTCTTCTTTCTATCATGAACCGTACCTCACTGCCATAGGGAGTGTTGGAATGTATATACAGTATATATACACATACAAGGTAGTCAAAAACTGACAGAACTGTACAATACAATCTTTTATGCAATTGTATCTTTCAAATTAT